GTGTCCGCTGGTGGACTCGTGTAAGCTCCAAAGAGATTTCGAGGGATTTTCAGTCATGTCTACTTTTCTACTAAAACCCTTTATCAGTTCTCACGATGTTTATGCTTTAAGGTTGTGTGCACTCATTTCTTTGCATTTAAAATATAAAATGAATAAAATGGGTCTTGAAGGTCATTTGGAATATATGCATCTTCTTACAATTGCTGCCACACTTTTTCATGTGTCGGGTCATTTTAAAACGACTGTTGATTTTGATCTTGTTGCTTCCTTGTTCTGCAGGATGCCAGCTACTGGCTGCAGGTTCACCGGTTGGAGCACGGTGATGGGGGAATCCTCGACCTGGATGATGTGCTTTGCGATGTGGCTGATGACAAAGACAGGGTGAGTAATGTCTGTTCATGAAGATTTTTTTTTCTGTTTTCCAAGGCACAGGAAGTGCTCACTGACCAGACAGATAAGAGAATTTGTTGTGCACCAAAGCGCCTCTTATCGGTTCCTGGATTTTCATTAATGCCGTCATCAACCATCTCTTTAATCAGTTAAACACTCCCCATATATTTACATGGCCTTGCCTATCTCTTGGTAAATCTAAGTTAAACAGATCGAGCAGTGTGCTTTACTTTAGAGCTCCTGAACCACGACTTTCTGAGGTCAGGAATGTAAATATTCAGTTGTTTTCTTGGAGTGTTATGGTTAATAATCCCAAAAAAGAACAATGAAAGACAAAAAAGTTGGTCCAAAACAAAAGATATTTGTACAGATAACTGAAACATTTTTTTTTACTGCTGTTATTCATGAGCAGCGTCTCAGCCACTGGTGGTGTGCGACAATTTTGGGAGAGTGTGTCATGATTTATGAGTTTGATCGTCGACTTGCAAAATCTGAATACATTTTAACGGCTACTAAATCACTGTGATTTTGACTTTCTACAATAATTAGTTAATGCAACAAAACCCCCTTCCACTTCTTATATAGTTTTTTGGAGACCTGGAATGTAAATCTGCCCGTCTGTGAAGCACTTTGGGTCGACTTCTGTCGTTTAAATGTGCTCTAGGCTATAAAAAAATAGATGCGACACTCAACTCAACTCAGCATTTTTATAGTGAAAATTTTAAGTACATTTTCAATTTAAAAAATGATAATAATTGCACAATTCAGTGGCCTACATACTAAACTTAAAGGATGGAAAGTATCAATCCTTTTGAGCCAGTATTGATCCAGTACCAATGCCAGGATTGGTATCGACGCTATCGATGTTTGGATCTCCCACTTCTATTAGCTGCGCTCATTTGTTTTCAGCCAATCAATGCCAGGTATTATTTCTAAGCATTCATTTAGCCAGAAATGTGAAAATATATCGAGAGTCTCTGTGAGGTATTCCACTGGAAACAGACTTCTGCACACAGATAAAAACTACTGATTGTATTTTCAAAGATGAAGAGCTGATTTTTCCAAAGGTGCTAACAGTTTTAGAACTCGTAACATTTGGTAGAACTTTGGGGGCCCAAACACGAAAACTCCAGCTAAAGTTAAAGTAAGAATTGAGATTTCAGGTGCACAGGATCTACTTAACTTCTCCCATCTGCTCTACAGTCAGTGGCTCAAAGGAGTCTTTGTGCTTTCTGCGGCGCACACTCTCTCATGCAACCCTTTCAACCTTTGTTTATAAGCCCCCATGCCTCAGTGTTTATCTGCAAGTTTGTGAGTTCATGTGTTTACGTGTGCACCCTCACAACGAGCTGTCATCATGCTCATCTTTTCACATCCCTCTGTCTTTTATGCTCGGCTCTCATTGGTCCCTGCAGGCGTTTGGCGCAGAAGAGTGTGCGTACATTTCATACATGACAACCTGTCAGCCTCGCTGACGCACATCTGCATCACTCTCACCGCTATGACACAAAATCCTTTGCGGGTGGATGTTTTGCTTTTCTACAAAGTTTGAACGTTTACAGGCATCAACCATAAGAGCAGAAGCACCCGTTTAATGTAGTGTAGCAGAACATTAAACAGCAGAACGTGACATTGTAACGAGATGTTATCCTTTCTGTATTAGCCCAGTGAGCGCTTGAAGAGATGCTCTTCCTTTTGTGTAATTATTTATGATGATGACAAATAAAAGTGATAATGTTACACAGCTAATACAGACGCTACAAATTTTTTTTAATATAAATTGTTTATGTTTATAATGTGGCTTTATCAAGTGGCGCTCATACCAAAAGGAATATTCCTTATAAGGATGTGAAACAGCACCACAACCAGCTCTCAAGTACCAGCGATGTCAGTGAACCTTAATATTTTTACTTTCAAATTTAAATTAGTCATCAGTAGTTTTAAATATTCTCCCATTGTTTTTAGTTTTTGAAAACTGTGGATTTGTGTAGATTTAACACTCCAACAGGAAGAGTCTGATGTGCTTTTACACTGATCCACATTCATGTACACTTAGCGCGAGAAAAGAGGGGAAACGTAGGGACATTAAACATGTATGAGTGTGAGTGACTCCGTGTGTCCCACTGAACATGACTGGTGGTCTCCTGGCAGCTGTGACTCATCTCTGCCATTGCACAGGAGCTTTTTAAAGACTGGAAGGAATGTCTGGCCCATCACACAAGGACACTTTTATTAGCTTACACTGGAATGAAACGGGCTGCGTGTAGTGCTCATCTGGGGAATACAAGTATATACAACACAGTTTAATACTTTACCG